CAATGTAGAGAGGATCTGTATTTTATATAGGGAAGTATCAATTGGGATTGGGATTGTCCCAGAATTGGGACACAAAGCGTGTCAGATTCTGGACACGGTGACACACACCCAGCCCGTGCTGGGGCAGCGGTTGCCTGGGGAAGTCTCGCCTGTGCTGTGTGATGCTGAGCTTTGTTAAATCGTTCCCCAAATCCAGAGTCAGTTCCTGGGGCTTCCTTTGTAGTGTGAGCAGAGTGGGGAGGTGCAGGTGCTGAAGGATGAACTTTCAAAAGATAGCCAGACAAGTATGGCACTGCTGCTAGGGAAGGGCATGGCCAGAGTCGTCCTCAAAGGTAGTTGGGCATTTCTTCCACTTAAATTGTCTTTTGAGACCACTCTGGTGAAATTCAGCATTTAAGCCAGATTGTTCTTTTTGGCAATAAAACAGGGTATATGCTGTGTCTCGGGATATTGCAGGAGGCAAGGTGCGTGTATCCAAATCTCTCTCTTTGGTGTGCAGTAATCCTAGCCTCTTGCTTCCAAAGGAGACAGATTTGTCTAGAAAATGCTTTTTAACCCTTGGGGTGAGGGGAAGGCACTTAATGCAGTGTTTAGGGCTGTCACCTTATATATGGGAGAGTGATTCAAGGTTATAAACCAGCAGTATTTACTGCTTGTACAAAGCAGAACAGCATCCCAGAGTGAGGATGTTTGTGGGGAGCCTCAGAAGCTGGTACCTGAAACAGCAGTGGCTGGGGCACTCCTGGCACATGTCAGGTCTGTCTCTCAGAAGCTCTGAGGACAAGCAGACTGCTCTCACCACAGAGCCCCTGAAGGCTGCCTTCATGTTGGTCCAGTAAGAACTTCCTGGGACTGAAACTTCTGCTGAACCATGAGAGGTGTGTGGTAGCATCACCCGGTCCTCTCTAACTCACACCAACTGAACTCCTTCACTACCACCCACGAGCAGTGAAGAAAAACTTCTTTTCCACTCTAAGGATGATGGATTTAAGACCAAATACCTGAAAAGTGAAAAGCACTCTCAGGAGGCAGAACTTTGCCTGTGTTGCTGGTTTCCCTGATTGTGTAGTTTTCTGTCTGTCACTGTTTTACCACCTCTTGTGTGTCTGTGCTTTTTAAACAATGATATTCAAGTCACTTTCCCAGTAGAATTCAGCCATGAGATAGATGTATCTGAGTAATTCTATAAACAATTAGTCTGAGTCAGAAATAACTGCTGGGTTTACTTTTGAGACCTTACTTTGCTTTTTTTCCACTGCAGCAACGAATCAGTATTCAGCAGCCCTTCACTACTACCTACAGGCAGGAGCTGTGTGCTCCGACTTCTTTAACAAGATGGTACCACCAGATGTGTACACAGACCAGGTGAGTTACAGCGGGATTTAGATGTACAAAAAATATCTCTTTGGATTTGGTCAGCATCCTAATTCTATTTAGAGACAAAACTGCTCCCGGAGCCTGTAAGATTTTTGTATCTTTATGCATTCAGGGATATGAATCCTCATAGATCCTTTTTTTTCTTTGCTTGTTGCTTGAAGGCCATAGAAAATCTGAAGCTTCTCCTTTGTTGCAGCACAGAAGGCTTTTCTGTTAGTTTGTGGAGACTTGAGCACACAGAGTGGTTGGCTGGGAAATAAATCTTAGAATGATAGAATGGTTAGAGTTGGAAGGGACCTTAAAGATCATCTAGTTCAAACCCCCTGCCCTGGGCAGGGACACCTCCCACCAGACCAGGTTGCTCCAAGCCCCATCCAGCCTGGCCTTGAACCCCTCCAGGGATGGGGCAGCCACAGCTTCTCTGGGCAACCTGTTCCAGTGCCTCACCACCCTCACAGGAAAGAATTTATTTCTGGTATCTCATCTAGATCTCCCCCCTTCCAATTTAAAACCATTACCCCTTGTCCTGTCACTGCACTTCCTGACAAAGAGTCCCTCCCCAGCTCTCCTGTAGCCCCTTCAGATATTGGAAGGCTAATTCTATGTAGAAACAAAACTGCTCCTGGAGCCTATAAGATTTTTATATCTTGATGCCTTTAGGGGTGTGAATCCTCATAGATCCTTTTTTTTCTTTGCTTGTTGCTTGAAGGCCATAGAAAATCTGAAGCTTCTCCTTTGTTGCAGCACAGAAGGCTTTTCTGTTAGTTTGTGGAGGCTTGAGCGCACGGAGCGGTTGGCTGGGAAATGAACTGAGGAAATGCAATATCCAGGAGTGCACAGGTCACCCTGTGGTGTCCCCTAGGTCCCCAGCACATGGCCACATTGTGTGGTGCAGTGCTGAGTAGGCAGAGCAGCAGTGCTAGCTCTGCTGGAGCACCAGCTGGAGCCTGCAGCCACTGGAAACGTCCCACTGTGCTTCTGGTGCTGGGGTGGCGTGGATGGAGCTTCCACCCGTGGCGCAGTTGACCACAAACGTCTTGCGTGAAGGCTTCTGCTCTGGCCCACACAGCTGAGGGGTGGGGATGTGGGGTCCCACCAGCAGCGAGGTGCAGACAGGGCTGGCTCCTTTTCACACCTGGGCTTGTATTTTTCTCCAGCGTGTGTGAGCAAGCAGAGCTGTCTCAGCGCTGGGGGGGCTGTCCAGGGGTAGGTAGGGTTGAGACTGAGCGCGCCGGAGGTACCGCACTGTACGTAGCATGGACCTGGGTGCTTTGCAAGTTGGTGTAGCAAGTGGGCCATGAGAACCCCTTAATTAACTCTTAATTAACCTTTATCCAGGCGTTTGTCTTGTTCTTTAGGAAACCAGCGTGTTGCTGGAAGGCTGCGGTTCGGTGGGCGATGGGGAGGTGTCTGGGTGCAGGGAAGGAGGTTGTTTGTTATGTTATGTTGAAGGAGGAGGGAGCCAGACTCTTTTCAGTGGTTCCCAGTGGCAGGACGAGGGGCAACGGGCACAAGCTGGAACATGGGAAGTTCCACTCAAATGTGAGGAAGAACTTCTTTGGGGTGAGGGTGCCAGAGCCCTGGAACAGGCTGCCCAGGGAGGGTGTGGAGTCCCCTTCTCTGGAGATCTTCAAGACCCTCCTGGATGCCATCCTGAGTAACATGCTCTAGCTCTAGGCAATCCTGCTTCAGCAGGGGAGTTGGACTAGATGATCTCTATGGTCCCTTCCTACTCTAAAAATTCAGTGTCCTTTTCCTGGGATCCCAGCCCAGTGGAAGCCGTGCCTGGTGCAGGTGTGACCACCACTGGCTGGGCTGTTCCCACCAGGGCCAGGTCTTCTCTGTGGGCAGCAAGAGAGAAAGGGGAAGCTCTTGGAACAGAGCAGAACCCAGCTCTTACCAGGAAGACGGCACTGGGTTCTGCAGCACATGGTGACCTCTTGTGGGGTCTCCAAAATGATGGAAGTTGATCAGTGGATGTGCTAAAACCAGGAGTTGTTGGCAGGGGGAGGGTTAAAAGAGCAGAGGTAGTTATTTAGTTTGTATTTAAAAGGAAAAAAAATAAATCAGTTGCTGCTTGTGTTCCAATACTAGCATTTCAAAACTTGTGTTTTGTTTTTTTAACCCTTCTGTAGGTGATAAAAAGAATGATCAAGTGTTGTTCCTTACTCAACTGTCACACCCAGGTAAGAGGGGAAACAGGGCATTAAGTAAAACATTTGTTTATAAATATTTTGGTGTTAAAAAGCGGGGGGAGAACTTTCTAAAAGGTAAAGTTCCCTTGGAAATGCAATCTACGATGAAATAAACTTTGTTTCTAGGACACTAAAAGGACCCAAATTAATGAGTAAATAAACATATACTTGGAAAAGTTGTAAGAAGGAGAAATAGTTTGTGGGGTGTGTGTCCTTTATTTCCTCTTAGGATACTGATGATTCTTGTTTTTCTTTCTGTGGAGCTGAGAGCGAGCAGGGTGGCTGTGGGGGGGTGGTGGGAACCCAGCCTTGTTCTTCACGGTGACCGTTGCTGTTCAGTGGGATTGCTCATTCTCCAGGGAGCTACAAGGCTTCTATTGGACTCTGATTTGAAAAGCTGTTAAACACATTTACAAACCTGGAAGCCAGGATTTGAGTAAAAGCCCTTTTTCTCCCTTTTAGCTGTTGCTGGGAGCTCAGAATGAGCTGTGGGTGCTCTCAAAGCACAGGTGCTCAGCGCTTGCTGAGGGAACCAGCACGTGGTTGGGTCTAGGACTGGGGTGGGATCATGGAGCTGGGGGGGGGATTAGGGCTGTGAAAATCACCCCTGTGTCTTTCCTTACAGGTGGCTATTTTATGCCAGTTCCTGAGAGAAGTGGACTATAAAACGGCGTTTAAGGCACTGCAGGAGCAGAACAGGTAAATGTTACAGGGAAGGTTATAAAGATACACACACAAGGTGTGACTGTGTTAGATAATGGACCCTGTGGTCTCTTTCAGCCACGATGCCATGGATTCTTACTACGAATACATCTGGGATGTCACCATCTTGGAGTACTTGACATGTATCCTTTCACTGGAACGCCACCCCAGCAAGCTCACGCTGGATGGGCATGGCTAGAAAAGGTCCCATTTCCTACCCAAAGTGTCTTTCTTGACTCCCCCTCAGATCTCCACCACAAAAGAGGCGAGACGGACAAGCGTCAGATCGCGGTAAGTGAACAGGGGCTGCTTCGGGGTGGGGGACTGATGTCCTTACGCTGCCTTCCCTCCCTCAACCCGGCTTTGAAAAGAATTGTCACTTCCCATTTGAATTTTATTGCGTAATTTTTAACAGAGGCTGGATCCTGCCAAGGTGTTGGACTGGGAGGGTTGTGGGGTGGTGTAGGGTGGTACAGGGAACTCATCCCTTCACCTGGCACTGAAAATGCCTTGGAATAAAACATCTGTACTGGAGAGACTGTCACTAGTGCTGTCCCCTCTTCTGTTCTCAGATAAAAGCCATTGGGCAGACGGAGCTGAATGCCAGTAACCCTGAGGAGGTCCTGCAGCTCGCAGCACAGAGAAGGAAAAAGAAGTTTCTTCAAGCAATGGCAAAACTTTACTTCTAGGCTAATGTTGGAAGACTTACTATAAAATGTGTAGAAGTGGGGAAAAAAAAATCCTTGAAGACTTTATTTTTAAAATTCATTTAAATTTTTATACAACATTTACAGGCTAGTATCTTTCTTTTTTAGAAATAGAGGAAATCTTATAATAAACCCCTTATTTTTACAAAGTGTACAGAAGGCTGGAAGCAACTGGTTCCACAATGGCTTGTTTCGAGACGACAGGAATTCAAGTTTGCCAAGAGCACGGGTTCAACGTGGCTGTGGGTGGCACCTGATGCTCTCGTGCAGCACCAGCACCTTCTCCCTGGATGTGGGGCAGGGGCAGGAGCACCTTGAAGGGGGAGGAGGGAGCGATCCCCCTCCTTCCCAGGACTGTCCTGTCCCTTCATCGCAGGAGCCAAGCACCTCAGAGGCAGAGGTAGTGAGTATTGCAAGGAAAACACAGTAGTTAATGCTGTTTATAAACACTGATAAAAACACAGCTCCACAGTTAGTTTAAAATACTGTTCCTACACCGTGAGTGGTTTGTAGAGTACCAGCGGGTCAGTTGGTTGCCATGCCCTCTCCAGTTCTTCTTGTGGTGGTGGTTGTTGGCAGTCGGTGGCTGGATCTTGTAAAATACAACTCTTTCCTTCAAGGACTGTACTTCTTCCAGTTAAGGTTGGTTGGGCAGCACAGTCTGTGCATGCATGAGAACTGAAGTTTGCTGCAGCCCTGAAGGACCACCTTGAGTTGGTCAGCCTGGGGTGGAGCTGGGGCTGGCTGCGCTGTAAGGCGAGGGCAGAGTGGTTTTGGAGAAGTAAACTGCTTACCCCTGACCTCTGTAATACTGCACCTGAGCTCATGGGTCACAAACGGACAGGCCTGAAGCTCTGGCCTTACCAAGAAAAATTAAAAAAACGAAACCTAAAAAAAAAACCACCAAGAAGAGGTAATATGTACAAGCTGTGGTTACGTTCTCCTCTATGGTTGGCCCCAGTTAAAGCAAGGTTGGCTTGTAAGTTGAGTGGACAAACTTGCGCCACTCGGCCACCTGTAAAGAGTTCTTGAAATTCATAAGTTAGGAATGGTCTGAGTTGAACTAAGTCGTGTCTGAGAAGGGACCGAAGCGGTCCAGGCTCCTGTGAGAGCAGGGAGGGCTGCTCAGCATGGATCTCGGGTCAAGGCTGTAGGAGGACACGGGTCTCAGCTTCCATCTGCTGCTCTGTTTGATGCCTCTTTTACTGCCCCAGGCTTGAATGGCAGTGAAGAGCATGAGTCACCTTTAGTGTGGTCTTGTTCTGAAGCACCAAGTCCTGTTTCTGAAACTGTTCCTTGTCCATAGCTCATTTCTTCTCTGTACTTTTGGGAGGGGTGATTATTCCTCCCGTTGACACAGGCGATAACTCACCTGGGGCAGTAGATGCTACTCCACTGTTGACTTCTTCCTGTGGATTGGAGGAGGAAGACAGTTAATACCTGTGACAAGTTCTACTTCTTTATGAGGGAATGCGGCGAGAGGATGAGGGGTAATGGTTTTAAACTGAAAGAGGGGAGATTTAGATTAGATATCAGGAAGAAATTCTTTGCTGTGAGGGTAGTGAGACACTGGCACAGGTTGCCCAGAGAAGCTGTGGCTGCCCCATCCCTGGAGGGGTTCAAGGCCAGGCTGGATGGGGCTTGGAGCAACCTGCTCTGGTGGGAGGTGTCCCTGCCCAGGGCAGGGGGGTTGGAACTGGATGATCTTTAAGGTCCCTTCCAACTCTAACCATTCTGTGATTCTTTGTTTCACTGGTGCTTTCGAGCAGTGCTCCTTCCCACTGCTAGCACAAGTCAAATGCTTCAGAGTCAGGATGCTGACTAAGAAACCCAGGCAGCATTACACAACAAAGTAAAGATCATTATCTATTAAACACTCCACCAGTACTTCTGGTCCAAGTCTGTGCTCACAGTGTTATGGTAAAACACCTTTGGTTTACAGCATCATCGAGCAGGAGCACCACTGACTGTGCTGGTTGGGGTGACCCAGGCCAGGTGTGAGCAGGAAGGTGTTTGGCCACCATTCCCAGGAGAGGACGGGGGGTGTGATGCACCCTCAGCTGCCACAAACCACCTACCAGCATGTCCAAGTAATTGGTGTGTGTTTGGATGTTGTGTTGATCTTCTGCTGCAACCTTCTTGAAGTTCTTCAGCGTGGCGGGGACTTTTTTCGCCACGGTCACGAAGGGAACCATCCACTCCACGCACTCCGAAATGCTCTCCCACTCTAAGCCTGGGGGGCAGAGCACAGCAAGGTGGTTAGAAGGCGTGGGGGAGGAGTTGCACAGTGTTCCAAGAGGGTCATAAAATGTAAAAATAACAACTAATAACACTGCAGATAAAAATTGAGAAACATCCTCCCAGGAACTCCCAGCGTTTCCTTGTGCTTTCCCCAGCAGCAGAGCCGCGCTGTGAGGGGTCCTGGTGCTTAGGGCTTGGCGAAGTGAATGCTGCTGCCAGCTGAGGGTGAGGGGTGGGTACCACATTTGAGGAGATAAAGTAGCAAAATACTGTATCTCTGACAATCCCCAGAACAACTGGTGGTCATAGAGCAGCAGCATTAGCCCAAAGGCAAGGCTCATTCATTGCCTTAGCTAAGGCTGTGCTTCCGAGAGCGCTTCCTTCTCTTTGGAGCTTTGGTAGCACCCAAAACTGGTAGGAAGGAAGCAAAATTTGGGTTCTTCCCAAAACAAAGAACAAACTATTAGTGTCCATGTAGCATTTGCTCTTTGGCAGTCTGGAAAACCAGTTCCCCCCCAGCAGCCTGGGGCTTTCAGAACCCCGTTTCAGGAGACCAGGCTTTTTTGGCTCCTCACCTGAGGCTTTCTTAACGACGTCCATGGAGGTGTAGTGGCAGAGCGCTGCAGCGGCCAGCGTGCGGTACTGGAAGTCCAAAGAATTCACATCTAGAATACACAGGTCTAAGAGCTGAGGAAATAAAGAGAGTTACAAATTTTTAGGGTTACACTGAAACTGCCAGGTGTACAGCGCTCCTACAGGCCCTGCTACCACACCTGGGGCTTTTAGCATCAGTCACACACAGCTCTTCTGGTTTTGGCACCAACTGCAGTTCAATTGGGTCTCACAGAGTTACAATTTGCACTTTTACCCATAACACGCAGGACACTTCCCTCACACAAAACCTAAGTACACCTTTAAACCCTTCATGGAGCTCCAGGAAGGTATTTTCTTAAATTCCAGTATTACCTGGCAGCGCCGTGATGTGGCCGTGCCCACCCGGCAGCCCACCTCTCTGAGGCTGGACCCAAAAAAACCCTGGCCCACAGTAGTCTCAAGGTAGTCAAAACACTTCTCAGACTGCCTTCCAGGCAAACGCACAGAAACACTGGTACAGATAATACTTTTAAAAACAGTTAACTGTCTGAAATTAAATATCCACCCTCTTCTGAGAGCTGGGGTCACTGTCTGCTATTTGCAGACCGCTGTACTGATTAAAAAAAAAAGGATTTGTGTTGTTGCAATGTACAGCAAAGTCTTAAATACATGAGAGCAGGGAGAGAAGCAGCACATGGGCAGCTGCTTCTCCTCCAAACCCAGCAGGAAGGGCCCTGGGAGTCAAACTTGCACCTTCCTTAACAAAGTAGCAGGTGAGGTGAAACAAGGAACAGGGTTCTTTAATGGCTTGTGGGGCATAACCTTCAGTGGGGACTTAATCACTCCAGAAAGCATTTTCTGACCCAGTTTACCACCCACCTGTGCTATCTGGATGAATTTTTCCTGAGAATACTGAGGTAGCAGCACTTTGGGAACATCCTTCAGAGCGTCCACTTGAAGATAGAGGTTGAGCCAGGAGACGATTGTCACGGGGCAGAGTTCCCATTTTAAAGCCTGCGAATATTAAAACAAATGTTTAACAAACCCCTTCAAACCACCCGGGGACAGGTTTGTGCTTTGATTCCTTTTCCCATCCCACCCCCCTTCTGAGTTTGCTCAGTTTATTGAGCGGGTCCTCAAAAGAGACAGGAGTTTTCTTTGTTTCACAGGAAGATGGATGTATTAAACACCTTCCTTTTCTAAGCAGATAAATGATGCTAAAAGACAAGGCTGAGCTGGGCAGTCTGTCACCCGGCCCTGAACAACCACAGCAAAGTTATTACCTTTAACATAATGAGTTCCATCCGTACAATATCATCTTCACTGCAAGCACCATCAGTGACGTAAGCAAATTCCTGTATTTTAGGAGCGTAGATTTCCTTTAAAGGGAGAAGGTAAAGATTAGAGCGCCTTACAACTCCAAAAAAGCTTAGAAGATGCTGGAAAATACTTTTCAATTCATATTGGAATATTAACATTTCTTACACTAGAACAGTGTTTTTCTCATTATATGAAGCGACTTCAACCTTACAGGATGAGGAGACACTAAAAACAAGTGGGTTATGTGTTATCTGTTGTAAAACATGACAGATTTATCCTAACTTCTTTAGTTTTTTGGGCAAATAAATGCTGGGCAAGCAATCACAACAGCCTTTCATTTATACCACTTTCTATTCAGCCACTGAGTTTGATGTGAAAACACCCTAATTCTTGTACAGCACGTGGTGGTGTTGGTAAAGGCTGATTACATCAGCACTACCTGATGCTGTGCATAACTGGAATCTCATTGATTATAAAAAAAAAAAAAAAAAAAAAAACACAAAAAGCTAGAAAAAGATGGGAGAAAATCCCACAGCCACTGTAGCTGGGAAAATTCATGGTGGGGAGATGGTTAACAAGGAAATTGGCCAACCCAGTCATGCCAGCTGGGGCCACCTATAGCTAAGGGTGTTGCTACATCAGGGGCTTTCCAAGTATAAAAACTTAATATCCCAAATTTTCCTCTCAGTCTAGCCTACCACGCGCTGTACAGAAACACACTCTTGGCTCATAAATGTAGTGCACAATGTAACGTGTTATTTATGCACTTTAAAAATAAAAAGAAACCCTCTGTAACTGGGTTTGCAGGGCTATCAGCCTGGTGTACAGACAGTCTGAGACTCAGGCTTGGTTCTGTTCGAGCCCCACGTCCGTTCCAGAGATTGTTTGCCAGCGGCTGCATATTTGGAAAAAGGCAAACCAAACCAAACCAAACCACTCCTAGCACATGTATCTTTAGAGTTTATGTGTTCCCTTTCCTTGCTGCTGAGGAAAGGGAGCACAAAGCCTACAATTCAAGAGATTGACACACGCACAGCTGAAGGAAGAGAAAAAAAAAATGGTTCCCCTTCTGACCTTCCGTGTTGTATGTGCACCCCCACGTTCAAAAGATTCACCCAGAAGAAATAAATAGGTTACTGCTGTATTTTTAGTTATTCCATATAAAAAAAAAAAAAAAAAAAAAACAAACACAAAAAGCTAGAAAAAGATGGGAGAAAATCCCACAGCCACTGTAGCTGGGAAAATTCATGGTGGGGAGATGGTTAACAAGGAAATTGGCCAACCCAGTCATGCCAGCTGGGGCCACCTATAGCTAAGGGTGTTGCTACATCAGGGGCTTTCCAAGTATAAAAACTTAATATCCCAAATTTTCCTCTCAGTCTAGCCTACCACGCGCTGTACAGAAACACACTCTTGGCTCATAAATGTAGTGCACAATGTAACGTGTTATTTATGCACTTTAAAAATAAAAAGAAACCCTCTGTAACTGGGTTTGCAGGGCTATCAGCCTGGTGTACAGACAGTCTGAGACTCAGGCTTGGTTCTGTTCGAGCCCCACGTCCGTTCCAGAGATTGTTTGCCAGCGGCTGCATATTTGGAAAAAGGCAAACCAAACCAAACCAAACCACTCCTAGCACATGTATCTTTAGAGTTTATGTGTTCCCTTTCCTTGCTGCTGAGGAAAGGGAGCACAAAGCCTACAATTCAAGAGATTGACACACGCACAGCTGAAGGAAGAGAAAAAAAAAATGGTTCCCCTTCTGACCTTCCGTGTTGTATGTGCACCCCCACGTTCAAAAGATTCACCCAGAAGAAATAAATAGGTTACTGCTGTATTTTTAGTTATTCCAAACTTAAGATCCCCCTCCCTGTAACAGAGCTTCTTACCTCAAGTTTGGAGGCAATGAATAATGAGGTAATTCCTATGAGCTGAAGCATGCTCTTGTTAATGTTCTTCTGCGTCAACATGAATCTGTCAAAAAAGTCTTGAGCCAGGTAGAAGGTTTCCCTGTGGAGCGCGTACACCTCACAAACCTACAAGAGGGAAAGGAAAACAATTCAGTTTCCTGTTAAAAACCTTGGTGTAAACACATTGGAGTATTCAAGCTTGAATAGTAAAACCCAAAATGCATTCCCCATGCTCCCCCCGAAACATTGATTGTCCATGATGCACTAACACACTTCCAAAATACACCTTTTCCAACCTAAATCGCACCCAGTTTTCCTAAAAATGAGTACAAACAATTTCCCACTGAAAGAAGAAAGCCTTATTGAGGAAAAAAGAAAAAAAAAAAGAAGAAAAAAACCCCCCAAAAATCCCACTAATTTCCTTGATGAAGAGTACCCTGAGCTCAAACCTCAAGTCAAAGTCACAGAGCAAACCCTCCCTGTATTCCCAGTAGGTCTGTCCCGAGGCAGAACCACTAAAAAACTCGAAATCTTTGGCTCCACAGCAAAGGAGCTGGAAGCTGCTGCTGCAGGGGGCTCTGCTGGCCCAGCAGGAGCGGTGCCTGCACCCCCCGGGCACCCCCACTGCCTCACTAAGTGGGGACAAAGCTGCAAGAAGGGCCACCTGTGCCACACAGCTTCCCTGGCAGGGAAAACTTTTAATATTTGCATTGTATCACGGTGGTTCAAATGGCAGTTCAACAAAAGAAATGGAAAGGAGACTGCCCGGGCCTGGAGACCTTATGCAGGGCCCTGCTTTCTCCTTTTAAACTGAATTTGGGTGAGTCTACCACAACTCCAGATCATCTGCAACTCTGCATCCCTTCCACAACTAGAAACTAGTTAGACATTTATAAATCTAAAGACATTTACAATCTACACGCAGTCAACAGGAAAGAATATCCAAGAAATAGATCCCCGGTCCAAGCTTCCCGCCCTGCCTCATTATTTTGCTTGGATACAAAGTCAAAATAAAAATCTCACCACTACGAGCTGTTTCCTAAGCTGAGGATGAAAGCCCATGTGCCAATTAAACCCCTTCCTGACCATTGAAAATGCAACTAGTTTGCAGTAACACCCCAGCCTATTCTTTTAGACCCTCTCTAATATTTGCCAACTGATGTGCTACTCTGTTATTATTAACTGTTTGCTCCAAACAAGGTTCAGAACTAAAAAATGTACAGATCAGGTTAGTCCATGAATAAATGGCACAGTTTCTATAGAAGTGCATTGCCCAAACATAAGCAACAACACTTGGTGGTGTTAAAGAGTATCTCAGTGTTGATACTACAGAAGACAATCTCAGGAGCTACATGAGGAGTCTCAAAGTTGCTGGAAATTTAACCCCCTGTGGCACATAGAACCACTGACCTGGGCAACCACGAGGCTCTTGTTGACTTTATTATTTTTTTTAATATATATAAAAAACCACCATATACTCCTTTCCCTTAAAATTCCCTGCTGTTAGCACCGTTCCAGCAAGAGCACTGCTGTAGCATCTGCTTCCTTGGCCTGCTGGATATGGAGCTGGTAAAGCTGCAGGTCCCTTCTGCCAACGGGCAAGGATTACGTGCGCCAAGTGCTGCTTCTGGCAGCGGCCACGGAATAAGCTCAACACAGAGTTCTTGGAAAGGCCTCCAGGATGTAGCTCTCTACTCACAGCACTAACGCTCCTTCACACAGGCTGCCAAGACCCAGAGCTCCCATTTTGTTTGACAGCTGGAATACTCCAAAGCACAGCAATTAGGCTGGAACACGGATGATTTATTTATAAACGTTTTCTAACAAGAACCTGTCTATATCAAGACCCTCCAGGTGCCAGCCACCAATGCCCTACTTTTTTTCTGCTCTTAGGACAGAATTAAAATGTTACTAGTAGGTCAGAAAATAGCATCAGGGGCTGACAGCTAGGAGCTCTTGATGCAGACGGGCGATAACTCAAGTCCTCAGCACAGGTGTAGTTGTCTCATGGCTTAGACACAGCCTAAAATGTAAAAGTTAGAGCTTCCTAACTAATCTCTCTGTAGAAATTTTAGTTTAAGTGTCTCAAAACTAGATTTCTCCCCTTCCCAGGGAATACATGTGGCAAGAGCAAAAATGTAGTACTATCCCTTGCTGCCCTGCATGGCAGGTTCAGCCTCTCCTGCCAGGGAAGGCCAATGTAGCTCACCAAAAGGATCAAAAGCAGTAACTTGTAACCCTTTTGTTGCAAACTACTTGTAGCGTTTACCAGGCAAGTACATTTTGCTCTTAATTAGGTCTTTTGTGTAAAAAGCTGTGCTTTTACCTGCCTACTTGACAGGCGGAACAGAAGGCAAAGTAACTGAAAGCACAAACCTCTAGGAGCCAGTCTAAGAGTATGGATCTCATGTGAGGCTGCAAACTGGAATGTAGGGAGGTGAAATGTTTGCAGTGAGCGTATCTGTTCTCCTTCTTCAGGATGTTGAGCCAGACGTCCTTGGAATTTCCCCAGCTAAGGAATAAAGTTACACAAAGCATTGTTAAGTATATATATATATGTACGCTTTCACAAAAGGAGTGCAAAAACATTATTTGCTGTTTACAGACATTCAGGGACAACAAGAAAAATCCCTGTGGTAATTAGAAAACCACAGGTATACTTTGAACGTTTTACATCAGCCCAACAGCAACTCACCAAGGGCATCAGCAAGTCCACTCGTCCAAAATGGACAATAAAACCAGACATGTGCATCCTAAAGTTGCACACACAGAGTTTCCTACTTCACCTGGTTAGGTGGCTGTCCAGGAACACAATAAAAACCAAATCTTCCCCATAAAAAACAAAAAACCCACCACCCCACTCCCCAAGAAACACGAAACATACACAAAGTTGTCCGGTTTAGTTTGAGAACAACATTTACAGGTGGTGTTTAAAAGCCACTCATCCACCCCTTCCTTATCTAGCCTACCTTAAGGCTCAGAAACAGGCTATTGAGAGAAAAATTGATTTCTTGTTTATTGCTAGCTTACATTAAGTTATTAGCACCCAAGTCTACCTGGGAAGAAGGTGCCTATATCATTAACATAGCTTGGTTTTAATTTGTAACTATTGTTATTATGAACTTGTGTTTTTTTCTTAGATATCCTTCTCATCCTACAGTTACTAAGGACGACAGCACGTTAGTCAATGCAGTGCTGATTTCCTACTGGAATTTCTGGAGTTACACATTTACCTTCCCCCAAGCAGAAGCAGAGAGAGATTAAAACAGAGCTGACCACTGGTATCACCTACAAATTCTAAGGCAGATCAGTTCCATTCTGCTGCCATCACAAGTAAAAAGCTGGAGAGATACTTGTTTGTTGAATGCACAGGTCTCCCCGTTTAAGTTAGCAGGCATCAAAAAATCTCCTATTATCATCTTCCCGCAGCAGTTAGAAAAGCATGAAGAAGGCAGGAGAGAGTAAATGATTTTAGCTAATTGGCTAAAATTTTAGCTCTTACTTAGCTAATTGGAAAGGATGGAGCTCAGCTTTACCAGATGCCTATCAACAAGAGGGGAACATGGAAGATTAAAGTCCCTGCATGGAATTCTCTATCTGAACCTGTCTTTGGGATCCAGCAACTTGCCAAAAGAGTGCAGGAGATCCCCTCATTCACCAACCTTTCTTAATTACTATTTTTAAAGGCTACTTTGCACAGAAAAGTGTGATTTGCTAGGCTTAGAGAGGAGTATACTCTTCCTTAAAGTGCAGGTCATCAGGCTTGGGAGTAATACTGAGAAGGAGGAGCCCCTGAGTCTGGAACTCAGTGAAAGAGACTGTGAGACACCTATTGCTTTCCTCCGAGGCAAGACACCACCCTGCAGCATCCCCCAGTTCTGACCAAGTTTTGGCCAGAACACATCAAAACGTGGTGTATCTACAAAGGTTCTCTTAAAGTAACGCTTCAGCTTCTGCTGCTCCTCTCACTCACCTCAGCAGAAGCTTTCCCTAAGGCACTGCAGGAAATCTAACAACTCTTTCACTAAACCCCAGGCTGATGCAAACAGCAACCTGGCTGCAGCTCTAACACACCCGAACTGCTAAGAAATTCAGAAATGGAAAAATGTGATTTAGTCAGCTGCTCTGCCCCTCTGCAGAAGGGAAGCTTTCCAATGCTGTGGCTGCACCGGGCATGCTGCATGGCACGGCCAAGCTACACACACAGCAATATCCCCCCAAGTTCGTTTGCATATTTGTACATTTAAGTTCTTGGAGAAAACTTTGCTTAGTATTTTTTCATCGCTTCATTCCAATAGCACTGAGAGAAATTCAGTTTAACCATTATGTCTGTCTTAACCACGTAAGAGTTTCTCCGGTGTTAAGTTATAAAAGGAGAGCTCTGAAAGACAAAAATTATCTGTCTGGTGCCTTTATAAGACTAGGGGGGCTTAAAAAAACAAACAGAATTTGTCTTCTTTCTTTGGGGACATTGGAACTGTTTGTGGGATGAAGAGACAAGTAGAAGTACAGGTTGAGTAACTGCAGACTGTTATACAAACACAATACCACAACAGATTTTACTACAGTCGTTCAGCATATTTGATAAAACACCGACAACTGCCCCATCTGGTAAACTTACTTGAGTTCTGGCAAAGGTGATGGATTTATGAAGAGGTTTCTGAACCTGTACTTTTTGAATCTTGAGAAGTCAGTGGTTACTGATTCTTTGTGAGGCGTTTCAATAATGATGCAAGGTGAGATGCCTCCTGTTATCGTGGGCGGCCAACAACTCTGCAAACACAAACAGGGGGTCTTTTAAATGCTGATTTTACTATCAGAGCAAGGAAAGCGAGAAGTAGATTACAGTCACAACAACAATATATGCAATTTATGTTACTCTTTTTGGACCTTAGCATCAATTCAAGTACTGAAACCAGGACAGAGAGATTACCAACAAACCCTCTCGCAGTCAGAGACAGAACATGTATGAACACATTTAACAAATTTGGGAAACTGAGTTTTGAAGAAGCTGTCTTTAGTTTATGAGCCCACGAGTAACCTATCCACTGCTTGAGCTGCTCGGTTACAGTACATAAGGCAAAGGTACTCATTGCTACTAAAACAGGGTTGCTGGTCCTATCTACTTATCTACTCAGAGAGGAAAGAAAGGAGAGGGTGGAGGTTCTACTGTCTCTCAGTGGAAATTCAGCAACTTGTTATCTTCCAATTAAGCACTCCAGAGAGGAGCCACCCACCTCAGCTCCAGAGCTAGATACCCTCTGAGCAAGCAGCAGCTGTGAACTATCTCTCAGGCTGCCAATGCCAAATAAGGGATACAATGACACAAAAGGAGAAGATCCCAAAGTTATTAAGGCAGAAAGCTTCAAAGAAGGAATTCTAGATTACTTCAGTGAACTCTGTAACTTGTTTCCCTAGTACTTATTTGGTTGCACACAACCAATACAAGTGAGGAGGTACCAAATGCAGGGAGCATATGCAATTCTGTAATGGCTGACAGCCTTCAAAATGGTGACACAGAAGTTTCATTATGCTCTGCGGAGTTTGGGGGGATCCCATTCCCAAAGAATGGCAATGCCTCCCCCTGAACACAGAGAATTATCCTATATAGCTGTTTTCTAAGGTAAACTACATACCATTTCCTTAGTATGTCTAAACCAACTTATAGCCAGACTGAAGTACCCTAAGAGTGAAGCTACATATTCCAGCAGAATTGATCTTAACTCCACAGAGTCATGACAAAAGGGAGACCCTACTCCTCTCCTGTGATCCTCACTGCCCAGGTTCCACCCCTTCTTCCTTTTGTCAGCTTTGATGCTTGTCAGACCCTCCTCTGCTGGGTTGATTCAACTCAGTAACCTGGCGGAATATTAACTCATTTTGTAGTGCCAAATCAGCAAGCTGAACCTGCATACTGCTTCATTTAAAGAGAACCAAAAAATGGAGCGAGGCAGGGGATGGAGGACACAGCCAGCTATGAAGGAAGGAAAGAAAGGGGAGTAGAATCTCCTCCCTTTCGGCAGAGTTTCACCCCAAGCACAGCTGAGGTGCTCACACAGCATTTTTCCCTACACAAAGTTTGCAAAGACAACTTCACAATCAGAAGTGCTTTGCTTCACCATAGCTGTTAGTTTCATGTGCTTGTAAACAAGCAAGATTGTTTGCAAGAGAAAGTTACATGATTTTACTAACCCACTTTGAAATAAACAACTGTAGAGCCCCTCACTTGGTTTAGGAGTAGCCTGCTTTAGTTAAGACAGATTCCTAAATTGATTTAAATAATCAAAGGAACTGTTAAATGGAAGTAAAGATGGCCTGCATGGTTATGAGTCTTCACTAAATGGCCGTGAAACCACACCTTAAGTTAAAACAAGTGCAATGATCTTGTTTAGACTTGCCCCCAGGCCCTACCTGCTCTGCATGTGGAATTATTCCGAAATATCTGGGTTTATTCCCATTTCTACACCTAACCTTACTCTGCAGTGGTTTCCATACTGAAAGACCCTTTATCAGCATCAAAGCCATGCATAAGAAAGCAAAAACATATAAAAAGATGCTAAGGTGCAGAGCTCCCATAGTTACTAATATCTGAAGGTAGAAATTTCCCCTGTTCAATACTTCCTAGTGTGGAATGCATGACTTCACACCCACCACCACAAACCAGATGGGCCCCCTCCCCCAGTTTGAACCGGTAATCAGGATTGAATTACCTTAATCTCATATTGATGCTTTTTAGCAATTTTCCCATCTTCTCTTTTCTTAATCTCCTGCTGAGAAGAGATACACATCAGTACAGTGACAACGACCAGCACACCCGCCTCTAAAGCTAGAGGAAACTCTTGCTACTCCTGCCCCACTTTCTCAGTGAAGTAAAGATTGTCCCAATTGAATCACAGAACGGTTAGTTGGAAGGGACCTTAAAGATCATCGAGTTCCAGCCCCCCTGCCATGGGCAGGGACACCTCCCACCAGACCAGGTTGCTCCAAGCCCCATCCAACCTGGCCTTGAACACTTCCAGGGATGGGGCATCCACAACTTCCCTGGGCAACCTGTTCCAGTGCCTCACCACCCTCACTGGAAAGAATTGCTTTCTGGTATCAATCTAAATCTCTCCTCTTCCAACTTAAAACCGTTACCCCTTGTCCTGTCACTGCACTTCCTGACAAAGAAGCCTGCCCCAAACTGGTCACCTCTGCTGTTCTCCTTTTTCGGGTTTGGAGATGCTCTGGTGTCTGCAGTTCTTGTGGAGACTCTTCTTGGCACGACAGCGGCTGCTGCTGCTTGGCTTGCAAGCGGCTACTGCAGAGAGCAGAAAGACATCAGAGGTCAGGAGAGCAGCAGTTGGCAGGTGAGCACAGAGCAGCCCGGCGTATGGCGGCGCTGACAGCTTACCTGCGTCTTGACATCTTCTTTGGGTTGGAGGATCTCTACCTGGACCAAAGGAATAACACAAGCTCAGTTAATAACGTGCACTCAAGGTGTTGGGACCGAGTTCCGTGTCACGGGGCGCATCACAAAGAGCGGCAGGGTTTACGTGGCTGAAATAGGAGGGCACGAGCATTTTTCTACTGGTGTGAGGAATGCCCCAGGTGTATCACCACAGGCTCCTCCGCTCCCTGCGGGCGGGCAGCTGCGTGGCTGAGGCGGGTTACCCAGGGATGCCCACACACACATCAGCCACCAGTTTGGCTCAGGCGAGCTCCAGTTTGGCTCAGGCGAGCTGAGCTCTTCTACCCTTGGCGGGGGATGGGGGGGGGGAAGCCTATAAAGGGACATTTCCCACCCAAAAAGATGCGGGTGGGGTCCCGGGGGCCGCGACACCCCCCCCACACACACCCTGCATGCTGCCCCCCCGGGGGGATTTGGCCCCCCCACACCTGCCGGCAT